TTTTAAAGTATTTGATAAAGAAAATAAGGAAAATAAGTGAATCTCGAGATCTTAGTTGAGATAGATGGGCATAACTGATTGTTTTGTTAGATTTTATTATTTAAACTATGAGTATTATTCTTGCGTTTACGTTGTAGTTTATTTCAGAGTTTCAATAAAAAATTTTCTATGAAATGATATTTCTAATATTATTATTATCAAAATTAAGATTTTTTAATAATTTATTTTTCATTTTAATTTTCAGGTGTATTTTCAAATTTAAAATTTAACAATTTTGAAGATAATGAAGGGGATTCACTGGCTGAATTTATCAGTTTTTATATGTAGTTTTATATTTCGGTACATTAACGCTGGGTGGCGCCACACGTTTTTCAGTCCTAAGGAGTGCATTTCTCACTTTTTCACTCCTAAGTAGTGCATTTCTCACTTTTATACTGCTCAACGGTAAAAAGACCTACTTCTCATGCTTAACTACCGTCGGTAAAAGAGCCCTTTTTGGGCTTGAGCAATGAAAAACTATTTGATTAATCGGGCGGAACTTTTGCACAGAGTTAGTCCTTGTTAAGGCCTATAATCTCACAAAATTTCAGATTTTTGGGAATAAGTTTAGCCAATTAATTACTCAATTTTCCAAAAATTGACCACGGGAAAGGTGGCGATGGACGTTGACACCGACAGACATGGTCGCCAAATTTCGTATTTTTACATTTCAGACCATTCTACACCATTTCCAATCAAAATTAGAGAATGCGAAACAGCACGATTACAATGCTTCCATTCGGAAGCAAAAACGTCAAAAATCATGTTTTTCTGACATATTCCATTGTTTCTTCTAAAGTAATAATGCGATTTGAAAAGTTTTTCTTAATCGATGCGTATTAATGTAACTTAAAACTTATTAGGTTATGAAGGTGATCCTCTCAGCGGTTCATGGGTTATCCATGTAAAACGTGTGAAAATGATTGAAAAAATGAGTTTTGTTTGAAAATTCAACAATCTTACCGCGAATAACGATGGTACTTGATCTCTTTGTATGAACAATGCATTTATATGCTATTGACTTCCCAGCCCTAAAGGAGGAAGTTTTCGTAATTAACCCGAAAAGCTAAAGTGAAATTTCCATGATTTGTTGACATTTCGCGACCCCTAGAACCATTGGATTGGATTAGAATTATTCGATTTTGATTGCATACTGAGCAAACGCATCTCAACCGTTTTCGCGTAATTCGGACGGAAATTTCAAAATTTGATTTTTTTTAACTAGGTTGAATGAGATATACGTCACTATACGTCATTTTTTACATTTTCATTCTCATGAAGTTTCTGCTCCATAACATCAACTGCTCTGTGAACTAGCCTATGAATAGTTTCATTTATTTGACCGATAATTATAGAAGCTGAATTTGCAATAAACATTATGAAATTCAATTCTCAAATGAAAAACTCAGATATGTTGATGAAAATTAGCCTCAATCTAATAATTCTGCGTGAATTTCAAGGTAATATAATATATTCTCACCAGAGCATAAAATATTTCTACAGATTTGCACAGAAACAGAGCAAATCTCGTCATTAAGATAAAAACCATGAAAAATTTTTAAACATGACATTCTAAAATCGCTGCATTATCACGTAGAACAATTAATCTCGCGGATGAAATAAATGATATAGGGTATCAATTGGAAGACGTCGACGAGACCTTCAAATTGACATTTGATTTATTCTCACAGGTCCTATCTGCAGCCTCGATAAATGGCAAAAACTGTAATTTTTGGCGCGTGAAATAACGTAAAAAGTGGAAAATCTCTGATATAATTAGATGAAAATTCCATTGAATCCAATTACTCTGCACAGTTTCGAAGAATAGTAAATGCTCTTCCAAATAAAATATAGATATCCCCGCCTAATCCGTTTAGGTGCATCGAAAAATCTAACCAAATTTAATTTTTCAAGTGAAACATAAAAATTCAACTATCCTCTAAAACTCTCATAAATTGATGAAAAATCGACAAAATTGGACAAATTAGATGTCATTTTAAAGGTCAATTAATATGTTTTACAATGAGAACACGACATGTATGCTTAACGCAAGAGGACGAAGGGATTGAGTACAGAAACCACAGAATGAAACTTAGTAATGCTCACTGATATTTTTCTGCATTACATATTGGATGAACAGGAAAATGGGAATTGGTCGATAAGTTATCGGTTTGACCCTTAATGGGTCACACCCACTCCAGCCCACATGTAATGGGAGCGAGCGAAACGAGGGACCAACAACCCTGTACAATGTTTATTAAATTGTGTCACTTTGTGAAAAGAAATGTAATGACTGATTTTATTCTGTCTTTATTATGTGGTGTCAAGCATGTGCAATTGTAACGGGATGGTTCCCAACAACGATTTCTGGACAGTTTTAGTTGGGAAAACCAACTGGGGTCCGCCCTGTACAAGAATTTCCAATTGTTATAAGTTTATTTCTTCTTCTTCGTGAATTAGATATTATTCATCATTATTATATCTACTTTCGAGAATTGCAAAAGCTTTTATAGTCCCGAGGTAAGTTTGCGGGGGGGAGGGGGCAAATATTTTTCTGAAGGAGGACTAGTGTTGAGTATTTCCCTCCTTCGAACCCCGGTCAATGTACAACCTGAAGATATCGTGGACTTCTTCTTCAGATGAAGAAAATAGTAGAAAGGAGTCTGGTGTCCCTCGGATCCTTTCAACATAAACAGATTGTACGAATAGACCACCGCATTTTATTGATCAGCGGTGTTATTTATTACATCGATTGACCATAACAATGCTTATCAGTGTTCAGAAAGCTAGAAAAATGAATAATAATCAATTTTTTTGTTGGACTTCGAATACACTGTAAATGATGATTTGAACTGAACTACGGGCTTTCTACCATAGCCATTTACATTGGTTGTTTTTATGAAATATTCTCCTCCCCAGTTAAGCTGATTCCAGTGAAATGCTAAGCAGCTACAAACTAGTTGTTAATTTGGGTATATATACTCCGCACGGTCTCCACTGAAACTCAAAAATACATCTCGCATGGATGACCCCATTGGTTTATTAAAAATTGTGAATAGTACATTTTCTATGTCTTTGAAATGTTTTATTCAAACGTTTTTGGGATATGGTTGCAATATTACGAAATATTCCTGGAAGTACACAATTTATGTTATAATATAATAATTTGATATACAAAAACTCGACTACGATTTATAGACCCGCAATGACTTCATTTTTTCGCGGCGAATTGCATACATTTTGAAAACGTGTACGTCGTAAAATAATCGAAGGAATAAATGAAGTTTTTAAGAGATTTCTCCTCAACTAAACGCAGGAGATGATATAATCCATCAATTTATTATACCCGCAATATTGGCAATATATTAAGAAATAATTTATTTACAAAAGTGAAGAAGTAGAACAGTGAATTGAGTTCAACTTGCTTCACTCGTTATTTTACGAAATCAGCATTCATTTGCAACACTGTTTACCAGTGTTGCAACATGACACGCTTAAGTACTATAAGAGGTATTCCATGCCAAATGAGTCAACGGCTGACCCTCACCCTCTTAAAAATTGATGGCGATTTTTTCTACGATTAAGGGGCTTGAATAAACATCTCTCAAATTTTTTCAGATTTTTTCGATAGCCCAGTTCGGAGATATGATTTTTTCTTTATTTTTCCATTTTTCTTTCATAACTCGAGTTCTACTCATCCAATTTCAATTAGGGGTCAAAATTTTCCATTTTTTACCACCTGTAAGAATGTTTCTTGTAAACATTTTTTTCTAATCTCTAGATTCTCGAAATGACGAATTTTCAAAAAAAAATGTTGGAAAACTTGAATTTTGCAAATTACGTCACGGTTGATTATTTCAATTTTTTTTTCAGTAATTCCTATAATCAAAACAAAAATTTTAAGCCGTCATACATGTTGGGTTTCGTCCTGGATCTATTTTATTTTCAATTTTCAACCATCGAAATTTCGCGAATTTGATCAAAATACCCCAGAATGGCATTGATTGACTTTGATTGTAAACAGTATCAAATGCATTTAAATATATACTTATATATTACATATTTTTTCGATACATAATCAAGGTCGTTTTAGGGTATTTTCGCCGAATTTGCGCAATTTTGAAGAGAAAAAATTTAAAAAAATAGATCTTGGTTGAAACCCAACATGTATGAAGGCTCAAAATTCTCATTTTGATTAGAGCAATTACTGAAAAGAAAATTAAAATGATCAACCGTGACGTAATTGGCAACATTCAAGTTTTTCAACTTTTTTTTCGAAAATTCGTTAGTTTGAGCATCCAGGGATTGGAAAAAAATTTTACAAAAAACATTCTTATAGGTGGCAAAAAATGGAAAATTTTGACCTCTAATATATTGAAATTGGATGAGTAGAACTCGAGTTATGAAAGAAAAACGGAAAAAAAAAAAAAATCATATCTCCGAACTGGGCTATCGAAAAAATCTGAAAAAATTTGAGAGGTGTTTTTTCAAGCCCCTCAATCGTAGAAAAAATCACTATCAATTTTCAAGAGGGTGAGGGTCAGCCGTTGACTCATTTGGCACGGAATACCTCATATAAGCGGGACTGATAAATATTCGGGAGTTCAATCGTCAACGTAAATCAAGCTTAGTACTTATTTTGTATCATTTTCGTAATTTCTACATAAATATTCTGTCTGGATAATTGTGAGTTAGTTTAAATCAATAAACACTTCTTTTCCCACCAAGTAAAGTACCGAATTCCATTATCTACCCACTGTAGAGAGATTTATCTCCAAATAGCAGAACCCAGGGATTCATCCCTAAAAAATTTATTGCACATAAGCTACAAAGTTACGAGTGCACATCTCACATATCCAAATTCTTCAAGTTGAAAAAAAGTCATTGTAACGTATGTAAACATTGAATTTTTAAAACATTGAATATTCTACTAAGATCCAGTAAAAATATCGCACACTCACCGACAGCTATCTCTGGAACATGTGGCTTGATCTCTGCAGGTTTCAGCTGAGTTGCTAGTGGTGTACTCGGTCCATTAACCAAGACACTCCCCAAATAATTCAGCAACTTCTGCGCCCTATTTTGACTGGATAAAAACTTGAATAACTGTGGATTTTCATCAATGAAATAAGTGTCTACATTTCCATTCAAAAACTTCTGGTTTTCCAGTACATTCAATAGAAACGGAATATTAGTCTTGACTCCTCTAACCCTAAATTCCCTCAGAGCTCGGTTCATCTTCGCGCAAGATGACTGGAGATCAGCAGCATGGGCAATAACCTTTACCAATAACGAGTCATAATATGGGGAGATGATTGCCCCAGCAAAAGCAGAAGCGCTGTCCAATCTAATCCCCATTCCTTCACCGGATCTGAAAACTTCGATCCTTCCAGTGTCCGGCTGGAAATTCTTCGCAGGGTCCTCAGTAGTCACCCTACACTGGATCGCATACCCCTGAGGAGAAATCTTCTCCTGTGTCATGCCCAACTCAGGAAGGGTCATACCCTCAGCAACCCTAATTTGCGATTGCACTAGATCGATTCCTGTAATCTCCTCAGTGACCGTGTGTTCCACCTGCAGTCTCGCATTTACCTCAATGAAGTAGAAGTTTCCATTCTCATCAACCAGAAATTCCACAGTCCCTGCGTTTGAATACCCCACGTGTCGCGCCAATTTTACAGCATATTCGGTCATCTTATCTCTGACTTTGTAATCTAATCGAGGCGCTGGAGCGATCTCCACAACCTTCTGATGTCTTCTTTGAACAGAGCAGTCTCTTTCGTAAAGGTGAACAACGTTTCCTGCATTGTCTCCTAGGAGCTGAACCTCAATATGTCTCGGACGTTCGATGAACTTCTCAATGAACAACGCACCATTGCCAAAAGCTGCTTGGGCTTCTGAGGATGCTCGTTCAAACATCTCCTTGACCTCTTCCATCTGTTTGACTACGCGCATCCCCCTACCACCACCACCGTAAGCAGCTTTGAAAATCACTGGAAGACCGTGTTTTTGACAGAAAGACATGGCTTCTTCTGAAGACGTCACTGGCCCGTCTGTTCCAGGAACAATTGGAACACCTGCTTCAATTGCAGCAGCTCGAGCTGCCACTTTGTCACCCATCTGCCGGACTACATGAGGACTAGGACCTATAAACCTGATTCCAGCGTCGACAACTGCTTTTGCGAAGTCCGATCTTTCAGATAGGAAACCGTACCCAGGGTGAATAGCGTCGATATCATTTTCTCTTGCAATTTTTATTATCTCTGCAACGTTCAGGTAAGCTTGGACGGGGGGAAGACCTCGACCCACTACGTAACTCTCATCCGCCTTTTGTCTGTGCATCTGCATCTTGTCTTGCTCAGAATAGATCGCCACCGAGCGAATTCCGAGCTCTGTGCATGCTCGAAAAATTCTAATGGCGATCTCGCCTCGGTTGGCAACTAATACGCTGCGAATTGGCTTATATTGGATATCGGTGCCGAAACTTGAATTAAAAGTTCGAAGGGTCAAGCGTTGGGGAGTCAGTGCCCGGCTAGCTCTGTGAACTGAGTACATTCTGATAGTTTTGAAGATTCTGATTTCGGGTGGATATGAGATCGTTTAGAAGGATCTAAGTAGAATTTATCTTTTTTTTATTTTTTATTTACAGGTCTCGTCCAATTTTCTTGCAGGTGAGATTAACTACAATTAGTTCTGTGAGCAGGTTCCTTATTGTTGATTTAATTGGTCTGGAACATAAATTTTAATGATTGTTGAAGTATATTGTAGAAATATAAATATGTGTGCAGATGATCAGTAGGAAATGTTATCGTCCTCACTGCGATTTTCCTTTCAACTATTGGATTTCTATTGAACTCTACTAGCTTTTGACCGATTCTATTTAAATGTCCAATAGACAATATTTTATAGACAGTATCAATGGAATACGGTTTTTCTATTGAACTCATTCTATTGAGATATTTGCTGTAGAATTTTCTCGGCTCAAATTTTCCATGGTTTTTTTTGTTTGATGTTCTTGATGGAAAGAAATGAAAAATAGAGTGAAAAAAATGTAGTGAAGCTACTTATATATTTATTTAAGATTATTTCAATGTATTGTGTTCGGGCTTGGCTTAGCAACCGAATACCATACCACAACACCTCGCGACGATTCGTAATAATTCGAACATCCTCAATCGGATGATTAATACCGTTGTCGCGAGAGCACATTCTCGTTCCAGCTCTCATGGTGTAAACCATGTTAAGTTGGCTGTGAATAAATCTAATACAATATATACCAATTCCAAGTGTTATACGTTACAAAACCCATCCACCCTTTACCGAATTCTCACAAAAAAACTTTTAAAATTTGAGCTGAGGAAATTCTATAATAAGTATGTCAATAGATTTCAATAGAAACAGGTACAAACGAATAGAAAAGTAATAGAATTAACTAGGGGGGAGCCACTGAGCATTGATAGCAGAAGTACGTGTTTTGTTTGGGACTGTGGTTTTTTTATTAAATTTTTGCGCTTTACTACGCTTGGGGTGCATTTTTCTGGTGCTCACGTATATTCGTGATTTGGCTTCTGGCTTAGAGCTTATTTCGCTTGCTGTGTTGTCCTCACGCGCTTCAATTTTTGCATCAGAACGTGGCTTAACCTAAAAGGCTGCAGAGGATAGTTACCCTTATTAATGGCCCTCGGAAACCCGCCACTCCCAAGAAAATTTTCTTCATGTGGAAAAAATAACCTGTTGTGTTCATAATCCTTCATCTTCTGGATTCTCCTTTTCGGACCCCACTCAAATGGGTACAGTTTGCATGGTAAAGACACTGCATAGACATCCGCAGGCACTAGATTGCTTCTTTTGCTGCCTTCTCTCCTTATAATTTATTGTATGTAGCCCCATCTATGAGGGCATTCATACTACCATGTCAGACTTAGACAAGAAGATAAGCGAGATGTCAGTCGGTCAATACCTCACGCTTCTAGACCCAAGACTCAAAGAAATAGTTTCAGCGTCGGCAACTGAGGCCATTGACTCTATGTAGATACAAGTCCAAGACAATACGGATAAAATTCGATCACTGATTGAGGAAAATCGACAGCTCCACAGGACTATCGATGCTCAGGGGAAATTGATAGAAGACCAGAGACGTCAAAACAACCTGATTATCCATGGACTTGCAGATGCCTCTCCACCTTCCTCCTTGATTGACTCCTTGCTCAAATTCTTCAAAGAAAAATTAGCAATAACCCTGCAACCTCAAGAGATCAATTATGTAAAAATAATTGGTACAGGTCGAGGGGATAATCCTCGACCTATGCCATCCTCTACCTCGTGCTGTCATTGCAGCGTGCACATCTTTCAACACGAAAATTTCCATCCTTAAGAATGCTTCCATGCTAAAAGGCGCCAAGATCTCCATTTCAAAGGATTACGACAAGGTCACCATTGCTACTTGCAAGGAATTGATCCCCCTAGTGCAGAACCTGAAGCAGAAAGGTTACGAAGCTCCTCTGAGAGACGGCGACATATAGATAGGTAACAAAAGAACCTCCATAGAAGAGGCCCTCCAGCTGAAGAAGACACCCAGGGAGACGTCCTGTCAAAAATATACCAAACAGTCACAGCAATGCAAACAAGCGCCAAGGCACTCCTTTATTGGTTGCTGAACTTACTCCCTCCTTGAAGAAGCAAAATGATGCAGGAGCAGAAGCTACACCACCAGAGACCACCGCTGCGAAGAATTTTTTTCGTCTCTCATCCCTTCAAGCTTATGCCTATAGTAAATAACTCCCCCCCGCCCCACCACCCCTCAATCAACTCAAAAACTATCATCTACCAGTTTACCCACACTTCCACTCCTCCTCCCTCTTAGAAAATGGCAATCATCCAGCAATATCCAAACACTACCCTTTGCATTCTGGAATATAGACGGACTCAAAAACCTCTTCAACCTCGACAAACCTATGATGCAGTACCTCTCGAGATTAGAGTTCTTCGGCATACTGGAAACCTGGCAGGACAAGGAAGTGAAATATTTTCCAAGATTTCTCGCAAGTTTTCAGCCATTCCAAATCTCTGCGACGAGATCCTGTCTCACTGGCAGACCCTCTGGGGGTATTATGCTCTTCATCAAGAAAAATAGCAACTGGTATACTCAATCTATCCTAGTGAGATCAGAGAATTACCTTCTGTTTTCTCTAAAAATTGATAACACCGAATTTTTATTTTGCTTAGCCTACTTCAATCCGGATCTAGATGAAGAATGCGCAGTCAGCGAGCTCTCCGATGTTATCAGCATTTACAGTCAGAGGAATCCAAATGCCCCCTTCATCATTATGGGAGACCTCAACGCGAGAGTAGCCTGCCTGAACCAGGTTGACTATCACATCACCGAGAGCTCTCACCTATTTCACGTGGAGGGAAACTCTTGGAGGACGAACTAAGTAGTCTTGGCTTCATACTCCTAAACGGCAGGACTGAATCGGACTCACTAGCAAGCCTGACATATATCCACCAGAGAGGAGCGAGTGTCATTGATACTGCCTGGGTAAATCGTATCGCCACACATTCAATTTTGAACTCCCAGGTCATTCCCCATGGCACAAGATCCCCGCACTTGATCTACGAAATTCAACTAACACACCTAACCCCAGAATATACCTCTTTGCTATCACCAAGCAACGCCACACCCGCAAAAATAGAAGACAAGTATCTGGGCAAAATCAAGCGAAGAGTTTCATACATATATTCACTATCTCTGTGACGCATGGTCCTCCTTCAACAGCAACGGGGAAGACACTGGCACATTAGACCAACATTTAGAATGCACTATCAAGGTAGCAGCCACCACAGACAAACGGTGCAAAACCTATGACTCAGGAAAGCCCTATCTAGGACCGCCCTCGCAGATAGCCTCGAAATGCAAAGAGATGAAAAAAAATGTACGCCATCTATTAAAAATTGCCAAAAATGCGTCCTTTGAGAAATCGCTCAGAGAAAATTACCTGGACGCAAAGAAAACGCTGATTTCTACCATGAACTCATTGGAGCATGAAAACAGAACCCTAGAAATTGCCGCCATCTCCAATGTTCGCAACAGCAAGGAATTTTGGGCGACGCTTCGGAAATTCACCCCAAGAGCATCTTCACCATGCCCCCTCCATGTGGACACTTGAGAACGATTTTATCTCTCGCATTATACTGTAAGTCACACAGAGATTCCCAGGCAGCGCTTCGAACTTACTCATCCAGTGCTCGACTCAGTCATCTCCGTTGAGGAGATCCGCAAACCTTGAAGCACCTGTCAAACGGCAAAGCACCTGGACCAAATGCCTTTGCAAATGAATTCTACAAAAGTCTCCCTTCGCCTGGCATTGCAGCAATGATGAAGCTCTTCAACAAGTTCCTGGAAACTGGTGTGGTACAAGAATACTGGGGCAGCGTCAAAACCATTGTTCTCCACAAAAAAGGTGACAAGATGGACCAGAACAACTATCGCAATATTGCCTTGGTCAACTGCATCTCAAAAATATATACTCAGATCATCGCCAACCGCATGCAGAAATGGGCGGAACATGGGAATATCATACCTGAATACCAATGTGGGTTTCATAATAACAGAGGATGTGCCGACAACTTGTTTAGTCTCCTCACGGCTACTCAAATAGCTCTGAGTCAACCTGGCAGATACCTGTTTGCTGTCTTCGTAGACTTCAGACAGGCGTTCGATTCGGTACAACACAATCTATTATGGGACAAAGTGAGGGATCTAGGCCTAGGTTCACGCGCCTTGAACTCAATCATAGATATTTACGAGAAACTCAACATGTTCTACAAAATCAATGGAGTGAAGTCGAACAAGATGAGAATAACCAAGGGCACATCTCAAGGTGAATCACTAAGCCCTCTGCTCTTCGTGCTATTCATCAGCGGTCTAGAAAAACACTTGAGGGACTCTGAATTAACAGGTGCTAGTCTGGGAGGGGCGCTCGAGCTATTGGCTCTGGCTTTCGCTGACGACATCGTGCTTCCAGCTGATTCAGCACAAGCCACACAAAAAACCCTGAATGCATTATATATCTTCTGCTCGTCACTGGGTGTAGCTGTAAATCCAAAGAAGACTCAGGTAATTATATTACACAAGAGCCCAAAATACCTCAGTATGCCCATCTTCACCTACAACGGAGCCACGATCGAATTTACAAAGTCCTACACATCTAGGAATTGTCTTCTCCAGATCGGGGAAATTCAACGAGGCAGTCATAGACCGAGTAACAAAAACTAACCAGGCGATTGGCTCAACCCTGGAGAAGCTGAGAAGAGCACAACCCAGATCGTCACTCGCGGCGGAAAAGCTTTTCAGCCCTGTTATCAGCGCAACCCTCCTGTATGAAGCTGAATTATGGGCTGATGGCCACGAGAACGCCCTGCGCACAGCACACTCCAAATTCTTCAATCAGCTCTATGGCTGGCCTCGTTCCACTCCCACTACGTCGTCCGGCTAGAGCCCAAGATGCCAGGTCTGGAGATTGGTGTAATGAAGAAAAAACTGAGATGATTGGTGAAACTGCTTAACGTGGACGATTACAGACTCCCCTGTCAGTGTAAAACAGACTGCTGAGCATCGCTACCAGAAACCCCCTCTCACAAAATCCCAACTGGGTAAATACTCTGCGCAGAGAGCTGGTGTCGTTCGGCTTCACCTCAGTCAAACCCATGCCAGATCTTCGCACACATAGATCTCATTGCAGCCAAGATGATGGCTATCTCGTGGCAACATGATCTAGAGCTGGCAGCCGCCTCATCTTTTTGCCCATTGTATCAGTGTTTTCTTCAGGATGCACCCAACTACCTGCACTTTGACCTGAACTTCAAGAAACTTGCCCTCATAAGCCAAGTGAGAGTAGCCTCTAAAAGAGGAATTTGCTTATATTGGAACAGTCATCGCATCAAGCTCACCCCCGACAATTTTTACCCTGTGTGTAAATGGGATTGCCCAGACGACCTTCAGCATTTTTTGACCTCGTGCCCTGCATCGGACATGATCAGGCACAGGTTTAGTATCACTGGGAACTCAATACAGGAGATGCTAAGAGTCAGAACGCCGAAAGAAGCCGACATTCTTTTTATTTATCTCAAAAATTTATTACTGCTTCGCTTCAACATTGTCGGCTCTTAACTCATCTCAATCTATCTTTCTTTCACAATTTTCGGTATTCACGCCGTATCAGCCGATCTCTCTTGCTATTTTTTCACGCAACTCTTTCATAAAACTGTTTTAAATAATTTTCCATCCCTCCTTTTGAGCCATTTTGAGCCTGTCATCTATAATTATTCTGCTTTCACTCTGTGATTCAACCACCTATCCATTATGGACTTTTGTATATTATTGTATATTGCTTTTTAGCTTCTATTGCTTGATTTTATGTATACATATATTTTAAGGGTCCAAACCACTGTGTAACCCCCATTGTTTTATGATTTATGTACTGTGACCATGTCACAAGAGTGCATTATAAATAAATAAATAAATTGATAAACAGAATTATCTAGTGAATTCGTTAGAATTTTCCATTAAATTTTTTTCGCGCGTCGTTTAATACGCTGACGGGTTCTATTTACCTATTTTCATATGAGGGTGACATATATGGTAGTGTTTCCCATGTACGGGATTTATATATCAGACTTTTTGCGAGTAAAGTGTTTCCATGCATGAGCGGATATTATACAGAATGTCACAAGATGATTTGTACGGCTAAATAACTAGCCAGCTAGGTGGCGTGTGTTTACGTGGCGTCTAAATTATTAAATCAACCACTGGGTTGTCGGTCGCTCGCTCCCGAATTTATGTGCGTTGGTACCGGTGGGTAGAAGTGGGTGTGACCCGTTCGGGCCGCACTAAGAACTTCCCGATTCGTTTAGTCCTAATACGAATTCAATAGGAATCATAAGAAAAGAGTAGTATTCAGAAAAAAAGTGTTGCACTCTATGAGCCCACTCTGTGACCACCACAATTATTCCTTGGCATTTGCAAAAAACTGATTGTGAGTGTGTGCGTGTGTGCAAACGTGTGTGTGTGCAAGGGTGTTTTTTTTTCGAGGTCTTGGGGGAAATGTACCTGACTGCACGATAGTGGACAGTAACATGACGGGTACTGCCACCCTGTGTGGGGCCCCCACCCACTAAACCACTTGACCCCGGAAATTCGTTGACCTTACTTTCCCTCGCGGCACCACCGTTAAGTATTACTTGGCGAGGGAGGTCTCAGCTATTCGCTCTTCCTCATTTTCCACCTAATGTACGTCCCCCTACCCTACTCAGATGTTGTGCCTGGGAAGGAGGTTCCAATAGGTTCCCCGTCTATTCTGCAGCTCTGCGCTCGCGTTCCTCTCTTCTGAGCTCCTTCATGACTTCTGCCGCGAAGTTGCTCGCTGCGTCCCAAGCTGCCTGCGATGATAGCATAGCTTCCACCAGGTTCTCAGGCAAGACTTCGCTTTCCAGGGCTGATTTCCAAGTACACCGGCTCTCACTGAAACGGGGGCATTTAAAAAACACATGTTGCGAATCTTCGTCTTCTCCTGTGCAGACCGGGCACTTCGGGGAGTCCTCATGTTTGAATTTATAAAGATAAGCCCGAAAGCACCCATGTCTCGACAGCATCTATGTGAGATAATAATTGACATCTCCATGATTGCGATTCAGCCAGATATCCACCCGTGGGATCAGGCGATAAGTCCATCTCCCGTTGGTAGATAAGTCCCAATTTAGTTGCTATCGTTGCAGACTCTTACGCCTCTCTTCCGTGCTGAGTTCTATTGCGCTCAGTGCTTCCGATTTCCTTCGTCGATACAGAGATCTTCGTTCCTCGGCCAGAACTTCTATAGGTAGCATCCCGGAGATGACGCAAACTGCGTCCTCGGACACCGTACGGTATGCACTCGCAACTCGCAGAGCACTCAGTCGGTAGACTGGTGCAACCTTCCGCCATGATTCCTGCAACTGTAGTGCATCAACCCAAGTGGCAATACCGTACGTGAGCACCGACGTGATCACCGACAACAGTAATGCTCGCCTCCTCTGCTTTGGACCACCTATATTCGGCATAAGGCGCGACAAGGTGGCTCTTACTCCAGAGGCCTTGGCAGCCACGTGCTCTGCTTGCTGTTTGAAATTCAGTCGAGCGTCGATCATCACTCCTAAATACCGAATGAACGGCTGGGAAGTGAGTTCATAGTCCCCGACTTGCAGCGTTAAAGTCTCAACTTGTTTCCTGCTTGTGATCATCACGGCAAGGGTTTTTTTTTCCCGAGGTCTTGAGGCAAATGTTCCTGTCCGCACGATAGTGAGGCAACAGCATAACACTTGCGATAACTAGTGTCGTGCTGCTGCCACACCCTGTGTGGGGCCCGCACCCACTAAACCACTTGACCCCGCTCATCCTTGACCTTTCTTTCCCTCGCGGCACCACCCCTAAGTATTACTTCGCAAGGGAGGTCACAGCTATTGGCCCTTCCTCTTTANCTTGCGATAACTAGTGTCGTGCTGCTGCCACACCCTGTGTGGGGCCCGCCCCCACTAAACCACTTGACCCCGCTCATCCCTGACCGTTCTTTCCCTCGCGGCACCACCGTTAAGTATTACTTCGCGAGGGAGGTCACAGCTATTGGCTCTTCCTCTTTCCAGCCTAATGTACGTCCTCCTAGCCTACTAAGTTCTTGGGTGTAGGTAGAAGGTTCCAGTAGGTTCTCCGTCTAAGTTGCGGCTCTGCGCTCGCGTTCCTCTTTTCTGAGCTCTTTCGTGACTTCAGCCGCAAAATGGCTCGTCGCGTCCCAGGCTGCCTGCGATGATAGTAAAGTATCCATCAGATTTTCAGGCAATACTTCCCTTCCATGTGAAGACACCCAGGTACGCCTTGTCTCGCTGAAACGAGGGCATACGAAGAACACATGCTCCGCATCTTCATCCACGTCCGTGCAGGTTGGGCATTTCGAGGAATCTTCATATTTAAATTTATGCAGTGTAAGGATATTTTCCCGGGTTGTTCACCCAGGAAAAATCCAAACTACTTTTTAGCCGTCTCTATCGCTCAATAGTCGGGCGCCAGCCGAACCTTCACGGGAGGTTCGACGAAAACCGGCCTCTGAGGCAAACTCGTCCACTCAGCGGACTTCTGTGGCCGGGCAAAGGGTTGCCCAGCTAGCATCAGTGTGACACGGTCGAGTGGGCGAGGTCCACCAGGAGTATCTTATGCCAAACGTCACCAGCCACTATTTCAGGCTGGACATTAAGCCTCACGGCCTAATCATCCATGTAAAGTGAATTTACTCTCGTCCTGGAGCGTTTTACATTTTCTCAGTAGGCTTTCGCCTCTCGAGTATTTCGACTCGGGAGGGTTTTCAGAATTAAATGCGAATCAGCCGGGACTCCTCAGAGCCTGGGACGCCGAGAGGCTGATCCGACCAAAGTGGAACACTGTTACCCACTTCACGACCACCCACACTCTCGGCCACCAGTTACCGCTTCGGTCATCGCACGTCACCGTCTCCGGGTACTCGAATGTCGGCACATGGTCGGGTCGACAGGAGGACGATCTCTACTCCAGACCCACGGGCCCATGTGCACGACATTTGTTTCGCCGAGCCGGATAACGCCGGAAACAACAAAGTCGGCACTAAGAGTTCCGAAATAACTCTTTTTTCCATTTGTGGGGGATGCAGTTATGCACCTGGCCGCGCTGAGCTATTCGCCCACCATTCCCGTGGCCCTCTTTCAGGCCAACACCACAGTATATATCGGGGAAATCCTTTCGACTTCCCCGCTCGAGCGTCCGCGTTCGACTAACTCAGAATCTTACTAGGGCCTTCTCCCCCTAGTCTGGATATCTCAGCGACGATAGGTCATTCCGTTACCCTATCCCCACCAATCAACCCGACGGGATCCCGGGGGCACCAGTCCTCTCACCTGGCCGTTGGTCCCTAGTCTACTCTGACATAGCCTATGGAATCGCCCAGTTGGACAGCCTGTACGTCGGCCCCTTTTCCCCTAGCACATGCTGGGCGAATTCCAAAATAGCGATAGTCTAGTAACGTCCTCCAGACCTCCAGGGGTCGCGGTTTCACCCATAACCGCTATGCCTTAGGTCTTTCATCGGTTTGTCGCTCAGTTCATCTAGTCGCGGCTTCCTTCAGCCGCCTCTAGATGTCGCCTCCTGTCTCAATTTTAGAGTTCACGTATCTTTTTAAGGGGATTTCAACCCGTAACGAGAAAATCTCGTTACAGCAGATACGCTCTAAAGCACCTATGCCCCGTAAGCATCTGCGTTAGGTAGTAGTTCACCTCTCCGTGGTTTCGATTTAGCCAGACATTCACNGCATTTCGAGGAATCTTCATATTTAAATTTATGAAGATACGCTCTAAAGCACCCGTGCCCCGTAAGCATCTGCGTTAGGTAGTAGTTCACCTCTCCGTGGTTTCGATTTAGCCAGACATTCACCTTGGGGATCAGACGATAGGTCCATCTCCCTTTGGTGGAGTTGTCCCACTTCAGCTGCCATTTCCGCAGGCTGTTCCGCCTCTCTTCCAGCGTCAGCTCCTCGGGACTTAGCGCTTCGGATCTCCTACGTTTGTACAAGACCTTCCGCTCCTCAGCCATTATTTCTATCGGCAGCATTCCTGTGATGACACACACCGCGTCCTCAGAAACTGTCTGATATGCACTTGCAACTCTAAGGGCACTCAGTCGGTAGACTGGTGCGATCTTACGTCGCGCTTCCTGCAACTGGAATACCTCTCCCCAAATGGGAATACCATATGTGAGCACCGAAGTAATCACTGAAGACAACAGTGCCCGTCTTCTTTGCTTGGGTCCCCCGATGTTAGACATGAGGCGTGATAAGGTGGATCTAACGCCAGATGCCTTGGCCCCCACATGCTCTGCTTGCTGCTTGACCTTCAGTCGTGCATCGATCATCACCCCCAGGTATCGAATGAATGGCTGAGAGGTGATTTCACAAGACCCGACTTGCAGTGTGATCGTCTCGATCTTCTTTCTACTGGTGATCAATACGGCTTCCGTCTTATGCTCCGCCAGGTCCAGTCGAACAGAGTCCATCCAACAGCGGATCGTTTCAAACGTTGTACTGAAGACACGATTCATCTCCTTCAGGTACTTCCCGACGATGACTACGGCCACGTCATCTGCGAATGCCACGAGCTCGGTTCTCCGCGGCATTTTCAGCTTCAGCAGCCCGTCGTACATGTTCCATAGTAAAGGACCCAGTACTGAGCCTTGGAGTACCCCTCCCGTGACTTCATACTGCTTGGGACCACACTCCGTGTCGTACTTGAGAATCCTCCCGGTGAAATCGCTGTAAACCATCCTCCGCAAGTATCCTGGTACGTCCAATTTGGCAAGAGCCTCCATGATGCAGTCCCAACGGGCTGAGTTGAAGGCATTCTTGATATCCAGTATTACTACTAGGCAGTACTCCTTAGTGTCATTGAGCCATCTTTCCCCTGAAATCGCTCTCCTGGCGGTATCAACAAGGTTGATGGCATCCAATGTGGATCGACCTTTCCGGAAACCATATTGATTTTCGGCTAGCAATGATTCAACAGCTGCTTCTATTCTCTGATGGATTATACGCTCGAGGATCTTACCGGCTGTGTCGAGCATGCAGAGAGGACGGTATGATGAAGGTTCGTCCGGCGGCTTGTTCCCTTTTGGGAGCAAAACCAGCCTCTGCTGCTTCCACATGGCAGGAAATATGCCTTCTTTGAAGCACTCATTATAGACGTCTAGAAACTGCTCTGGCATCGCTTGGATTGCCGATTTCAGTGCAATGTTGGGGATACCGTCCGGACCAGGGGCCTTTGTGTTACCCACTCGCATGTAGGCCTCCATCAACTCTTCCCTTGTGATTTTCGCTACGATCTCATCCTCCTGGTGTCGGGCGGGACGGTGAAAATCTGGTTGTTGAGGGAACAGCGTTTCAACCATCTTTCTCAGGAGAACAGGACACGATGGTGTTGGCATAGGTTGACTTTTCAGTCGTGTCGTCACCACCTTGTAAGTTCTCCCCCAGGGATCGCCTTCTACTTCAGCAAGAAGTTCACTCCAGCAATGCTTCTTGTTGTGCTTTATCGCCTTGCTCAGTTTCCGACGTGGCTTTTTGTACCTCATTTCGAGCTCCTCGGTTTGGTTTCTTCCGGCCTCGTTGGGACAACCTCCTAGCTGCGTTGCATTCCCTCCGGAGGACCGCGATGGTGTCATTCCACCAATACACCGGGGGGTGTCGATTCGTGGTCCGCTTCCTCGCCATAATGTTCCGTGCCTTCGCTGTTGCATTCGTGCCAGTAATCAGACGGTCATCTAATGCCGCCGAGTAAGAGCCAAAATCAAAGGTGCTCACTCTCCAACCAACAATGTTGGTCTTCTTTGCGGTTGATCTGGCTTTCTGGTCAGAGCAAATCTCCCAGAGTATTGCCCGATGGTCACTCGCAGTGTAGATATCAGTTACTCTCCATGAGTAGTTTCTCTTGGCGAGAGTACCACTCACGAAGGTAAGATCCACAATTGAGCTCGCCTTTCCCCGAATGAAGGTTGGTTCTTCTCCACTGTTCAGTAAGATTACGTCCAAAGATGACATGGCTTCCAGTAAAGCCTGTCCTCTAGCATTTGTTACCTTACTGCCCCAGTTAACTGCCCAGGCATTGAAGTCTCCAGCTATCACCACGGGAAAGTGTTGCTTAGTATCCACAGTCAGCCTATCTAGGAAGTCTGTGAACTCATCAATGCGAAGACTAGGTGGAGCATAGCAGCTGTAGTAATGGATTCCATCAAAGTTCACCATAGCAAAACCACTCTGCGTGTTACTCCTGATGTTTCGGAAAGGCCGGTTCACGCAAGCCCAGATCGCAGCATTTCTGCTGGCGTCTGTGACCCAGGATTGAGTGCCAAGATCTCGATATGGCTCAGAAATCATGACAAGGTCGGCCTTTAGCTCACGCACCGTCTTCATAAGCAGATCGGGTGCGTCCTCGCAGTGATTGAGGTTGAGATGTAACACCTTGCAGCTGATCCGTTTTTTATCGCCTTTTGTTAGTAAGCTTCTGGAGTGCCTCTCTGTAAGCCGGGCATGTGTTGCTGCCAGCGACATGGGCACATTTCTCCGTTTTCCCATCTTCAGCAC